TTATGTTAAATTGACCAGTTAGTTCAAACAACCTGTTAATGCATATAAAACAGTAGAGCCAAGTGTGATCTGCATTGACCAGCTATAAGAGAAAATGTAACAGACTGTCAGTTTTGGCAACACCATTTTGTAAGTGACTAGTTCCTAAAAATGTATCATTCTCAGAAAATGATAATTAGCTTATTGTCCAGAATATATTTTAGTCGATGAGCAGCTCTTGAAACTAGACAGAAGTAAATACATTTGAACGTTTTCAAGTGTGTTAAGAATATTTTATTAGCTTCATAAGTAAAAGTTTCAAAAGATTTTTTATTTTCTTGAGAAATATATAATTGCTGTCCCAGGCTCAGTTTAAAGTCTGAGGGGGTGATGGGGAAAGGATGAGGTGAGAAGATCCCTAATGAACAAAAGAGTAGGGAGATACTGGCCTAAAGGTGATGAGCTGGAAGGGAGAGGTGTGAGAGTGAAGGTTCTACCATACATAAGTTTGAAGGGGCTGAGGCCTGTGGGTTTGTGGGGGGCAGCTTGCAAACGAGTGAGTGCTGGAAGGATAAGTTGGGTCCAAGGGAGGTGAAGTTCCATGGACAGCTTGGTGAGGTGTGTTTTTATGAGGTGATTGGCTTTTTCTACTTTGCCTGATGACTGAGGCCGATATGGTATACGTAAGTCCCATTTGATACATAACCCCTGTGCTGTGAGTTATGTAATCTGGGAAATGAATGCTGGGCCATTATCAGACTGGAGGCTGGTGGGCAAGCCAAAATGATGGATGATTTCTGAGGTGAGAGCATGCATTACTGAAGGGATGATTTTAGAGGTGAGAACATGTGTTACTACTGTAGCATCCTCTGAAGTACAGGGAAAGGCCTCAATCCAACCTGAAAAGGTATCTACTAAGGTTAGATGATAGCATGTCCTTTTGTGGGGAGGCTTGTGAGTAAAGTCAATTTGCCAATGCTGACCAGGAGTGTATCCTCTGGCCTGGTGGGTGGGAAAGGACTGAACTTGGAGGCCACCTTGATTGGAGCAATGGGTACACAAAGGACAATTTTGAGTGATTTGTTTAAGTAACTTGGCCATGTGGGGAGAGTAATATAAGAGCTGAAGAAGGCATAGTGGTGGTTCATAGCCTACATGAACTGAATTATGGAAATCTAAAATGATTTGCTCAGTTTGTGTGGTAGGGACGATAGAGCGACTGGAGAGAGTATACCAGTTGTCCTTCCTCTGTGCTCCCAACTGTTGGTGGTGTTGTATTTCTTGAGGTGTGTATTGGGGTAAGGGCATAGGGGCCATGAGAAGGACCTGAGCAGGAGAGGAAGAGTGGGGGCCTGGAGATTGAGCAGCCTGTTTTGTGATTACATCCACCAGTTTGCTTCCCTGGGCTATGGGGTCGTTGGAGGTTTGGTGTCCTCTGCAGTGTATAACCCCCCAACCTCCTTGAGTGATCATGTATCTTCTCTCCTTCCATATGGCCGTGCAGGAGTGTAGGATGTGGTAAGCATACTCAGGGTCAGTGTATATATTGACTCATTTGTTACTTGCCAGAGTGAGAGTGTGGGCGAAGGCAATGAGTTCTGCCTGTTGGGAAGTGGTGCTAGGGGGGAGGGGGGCAGCATCAATAGTTTGTGTTAGATTTACTGTGGCATAACCCACCTGGGGAGCAGGCGCAGAGGTGGCACTCCCATCTATGAACCATGTATGTTGGTGCCACGTAATGGAAGTGGGGAGATGTGTGAAAAGGGAATGAGAAAAAGGTCTAAAGTCTCCATGCAATTATGTTCTAAGGGTCATGAGTATTTGGGGATGAGAGTGTCTGGATTTAAGGGAGGGCAAGGTTTAAAGGAGAACTGGGAATTTTCAAGAAAGGTAAGGTGGATAAGTTGTAGGCAGAAGGGGAGAGAATTGACTGAGCCTTATGGCTGAGAAGGTCTTGAAGTTGGTGGGGGGAACAAATGACTGTTGGTTGTCCAAAGGTTAGTTTAAAGCTTTCTTGTGCTAAAAGGGTGGTCTTCTACCAAGGTCTGCAAACAGGGAGCCCATCCCCGGGCTGTGGTGTCTAGTTGTTTAGAGAGGTATGCAACCAGGGAGAAAATAGCTCCTGCCTCTTATGCCAAAAACATGACCACCAATCCTTGAGTTTCGGTCATGTATAGGATAAAAGGATGAGATAGGTTTGGGAGGGATATAGCTGGGGCTGCGAGGAGAGTGGCTTTTAATCACTGGAAGGGAGAATGAATGGGCTTTGTG